CCAAAAACTCGATACTTAGTAAGCACATCCGTCATAACCTTGAGTTTTTGCTGAAATACTCTGGCGATTATGTCATGGCGATCTTGCGGTTTTTGGCCCGGTTCCAACTCACGTTCAATTTCCGTCCACTTCGGATTGCAAGTGAACGTAATAAATAAATCTGGAGTTCCCTAATTTTGCACGTACGTCATAGCGTCTTGAGCGTATTCGTGCATGTAGGTCTTCCGATTTAAGATGATGAGAGAATCGTCAGACGGCCAATATTCTGAACATCACCATCTGAATGAATTGCACCACGCAAGTGTATATAGTCTCAGATCGTAGCTTTGCCTGATCGAATCGGATGAACGCTAAACGTTCGGTCTCGACTTTGATATACACGTCGACAGCGAGTTGCTGGAATAGCCGACGGCACTTCAGAATGACATTATCCTGATGTGTACGAGTCATCATACGATAAGCATAGTAAATCATTGCGCTTAGATTTTTATACCCGTTACTCGTAGACTAAAAGGGTATACTAGATTCGTCGGAAAGTATGTAACAGGCAGAAGGAAGCGTTTCCGACCCCACAAAGTATATATATTCTTGATCAGGATCACTAGCCGAGTCGATCTAGCCATGTCCGTCTGTCCGTCTGTCCGTCTGCCTGTCCGTCCGGATGAACGCTGAGATCTCGGAAACTATGGGAGCTAGGCTATTGAGATTTGGCGTGCAGATTCCTGAGCTTCTTACGCAGCGCAAGTTTGTTTCAGCACAGTGCCACGCCCACTATAACGCCCACAAACCGCCCAAAACTGTGGCTCCTACAGTTTTGATGCTAGAATAAAAATTTTAACTGAAATGTATTGTTCTCATCAATACCTATCGATTGACCCAAAAAAAAGTTTGCCACGCCGACTTTAACGCCCACAAACCGCGAAAATCTGTGACGCCCACAATTTTCATGCTAGATAAAAAATTTTAACTGAAATGTATTGGTCTCGTCGATACCTATCGATTGATCCAAAAAAAATTTGCCACGCCCACTCTAACGCCCATAACGATTAAATCTGTATACCGCCGGTAGGTGGCGCATTTTAATATCGCTTTTCTGCTTGCATATCTCCATATAGCTAAGTAACGGGTATCTGATAGCCGAGGTACTCGACTATAGCGTTCTTCCTTGTTATTCGTTGATACGCCTGAAAATGAAAAATTAAATGAATTGTTAATGGAAACCAATAATATTGTACCCGTAAGTGGATAGACCATCTGCAACGTGATGTCGTATCCGTCTTGCCCTTGCTAATAAATGATTGGATATTGTAACGCATCGTGGAAACGATGTGTCTCGTTTATACGCATGATATTGCTTCTTCGCTGAACGACAATGCACTGTGGGGAATTTTCCTACTTTTTGCAACACTTAAATGTTGTATTTTTTAAATTAGGTATATAAAATTTAAAGGGAATAAAATAAATAAGATGGGCGTGATCCTGCCTTTTTTTTATTTTTGTTTTCTTCTTAATTAAATACAAATTTTTTTAATTTAATTTAATTAATTTAAAAAAAATATTGGCGTTTTTATTTTCTATTTTTATACCCTTGCAGAGGGTATATTGATTTCAGTCAGAAGTTTGCAACGCAGTGAAGGAGACGTTTCCGACCCCATAAAGTATATATATTCTGGATCAGCATGACTAGACGAGTCGACCTAGCCATGTCCGTCTGTCCGTCTGTCCGTCCGTTTCTACGCAAACTAGTCTCTCAGTTTTAAAGCTATCGGGCTGAAACTTTCCCAAAAGTCTTATATCTTTTGCAGGTAGTATATAAGTCGGAACCAGCCGGATCGGACAACTATATCTTATAGCTCCCCTAGGAATAATCGGACAAAAAAATTTAAAAAAATTATATCCTTGGTGTTTTTTAGCATATAACCTCCTAAGCTTGGAAATAACATTTTTTAATTAGTTTTGAATTTCGAATTTAATTTTATCAAACAAATTTTATCAGCCATAGGAACGGTCATAAAATTGGTGGAAAAATAATATGAAACAAATTATAGCTTCGGTGTTTTTCAACATATAACCTCCAACGCTTGGAAATAACATTTTTTAATTAGTTCTGAATTTCGAATTTAATTTTATCAAAATCGGACGACTATATCATATAGCTGCCATAGGAACGATCGGAAAATTGGTAGGAAAATAACATGAAACAAATTATAGCTTCGGTGTTTTTTAACATATAACCTCCTACGCTTGGAAATAACATTTTTAAATTAGTTCTGAGTTTCGAATTTAATTTTATCAAAATCGGACGACTATATCATATAGCTGCCACAGGAACGATCGGAAAATTGGTAGGAAAATAATATGAAACAAATTATAGCTTCGGTGTTTTTTGACATATTATCTTATACTATTTGGAATATCATTTTTTGTGTTTTTAAATTTAATAATTATAGCTGCAAGGGTATATAAGCTTCGGCTTGCCGAAGCTAACTTCCTTTCTTGTTTTTCTTATAAAATATACAAATAGGGTAACAATCATTATTACAACTAAGATCAAAGATGTGTGTCCGGAAAGTTGGTGAAATGGTAGTTCTTTTAATTTAAGCTTGTGAATTTATAAATAATTTAGTTAATTTTTTAAGCGGTTTATTTCGCCAGGATGATTAACAATTGGTGAGTCTTATTGGTTCCAAACAATCTTGGGTATTTTGCTAATGTCTCCTATAAATGACAAGGACAACGTTCCCTGATCTTCTGTTGGTATACTGTGGTGTGCAATTAGAATCTTATCATGAACTCTAGCAGTGCTATCCGACCTTTTTGTTAAGATCCCTTGTTTTGCCAAACCTACTATTTTTAACCTAGTGGTGCCGCAATGAATTCAAGCCTTTGTGTTATCCTCAACCTTAAAGAGCCAACTACTTTTTTTTTCTAACTCTGTCCAATACGACTTGCTCTCGACAATTGATTTGTATATGCAATTTGATGCTCTATTTAGTTTAAGAGACTTCAATTCACAACTGCCATTGCTAACACTACTCCAAGGCCAACTTCCTTAAAAATGTTTTTATTGGATTGCCACCTTTGGCACTTATTTAGGGTAGATTCTTTCATAAGGTGATATGCATCTATCTCGATGTTATAAACTAAATATTGAACATCGACGTTACCATTATCATGAGTTCTTCAATTCTAAAAGGTTTTAGAATAACTCTTAATAATGATGATGCATATTGACCAAACAAAGGTATCTTTGCATTTATCATAAGCCTTTTATCAACAAAAAAAGGGCTTACCTGTGAGTACAGTATAGACTTCTTCAAGTTCTGTGCCAGGAAAACCTAATTGTCTGATAAACTGTCTTTTATTTTCGAATTCTCACTTTTGAGCTGACTGGGCTTCAAAATGTTAGTATTAAGTCCACCATGATTAATGTCTATTAGTAAGCTTATGATTTTAGATTGTATTTTTTCGCATTCATCTATTATGTTAGTTAATTGTGTGGCTTTTATAAATAAGTTGATAGACTCCTTGTATACATAGTACGATTTTTGTAGTGTAGCCGTCATATACTCCATTCGCGTTTGCATTCCCGTAAAATTAACATCAGTCGTACTCTTTAAAATGTTTGCTGTAAAATCGACTAAAAAAATGTGTTTCTCTTAAAAAGTTTTTATATTGTCTTCCATTTGAATCCTATCGACTGCATCCATTATTCCAAATAAAATATAGTAGAGTATAGTTTGCAACGCCCACTCTAACGCCCATAACGCCGGTAGGTGGCGCATTTTAATCTCGCTTTGCTGCTTGCATTTCTCTATTTCCCTTTGGTCCCTTTAGCTGAGTAACGGGTATCTGATAGTCGAGGTACTCGACTATAGCGTTCTTCCTTGTTATACCCTTGCAGAGGGTATATTGATTTCAGTCAGAAGTTTGCAACGCAGTCAAGGAGACGTTTCCGACCCCATAAAGTATATATATTCTTGATCAGCATGACTAGACGAGTCGATCTAGCCATGTCCGTCTGTCCGTCTGTCCGTCCGTTTCTACGCAAACTAGTCTCTCAGTTTTAAAGCTATCGGGCTGAAACTTTCCCAAAAGTCTTATATCTTTTGCCGGTAGTATATAAGTCGGAACCAGCCGGATCGGACAACTATATCTTATAGCTCCCGTAGGAATAATAGGAAAAAAAAATTTAAAAAAAATATATCTCTGGTGTTTTTTAGCATATAACCTCCTAAGCTTGGAAATAACATTTTTTAATTAGTTTTGAATTTCGAATTTAATTTTATCAAAATCGGACGACTATATCGTATAGCAGCCATAGGAACGGTCATAAAATTGGTGGAAAAATAATATGAAACAAATTATAGCTTCGGTGTTTTTCAACATATAACCTCCAACGCTTGGAAATAACATTTTTTAATTAGTTCTGAATTTCGAATTGAATTTTATCAAAATAGAAACGATCGTAAAATCGGTGGGAAAACAACATGAAACAAATTATAGCTTCGGTGTTTTTTAACATATAACCTCCTACGCTTGGAAATAACATTTTTTAATTAGTTCTGAGTTTCGAATTTAATTTTATCAAAATCGGTCTACTATATCATATAGCTGCCATAGGAACGATCGGAAAATTGGTAGGAAAATAATATGAAACAAATTATAGCTTCGGTGTTTTTTGACATATTATCTTATACTATTGGGAATATCATTTTTTGTGTTTTTAAATTTAATAATTATAGCTGCAAGGGTATATAAGCTTCGGCTTGCCGAAGCTAACTTTCTTTCTTGTTTATATTGTTACCACTATAATTTTTAACAAAAATCCTAAAATCCTTTATATCAACGTTAATAAATTGAAATGATGTTGTAAAATAATTTTAAAATAATCGTTATTTATTAAGAAATATAATTGCAAACTGTTTTTTTAAGATAACATCGAAACTGTCATTTACCAGTCACAAATGCGAGAACTACACAGTATTAGGTACAGGTCTTTAAAGCAAAATTTTAGAGAAAGAACTAAATACTATACAAGACTAAAGGTTTCAGAGGTGGAAACAGGAGGAATCAATTTGTAGCTCCATTTAAAAATACAAATTAACTTTTGGTTTTGGTTTTTTTTTAGGTTAGAACTTTTGGTTTTCTCCAAAAAAAAGTGGTAAAATTCCCCATAGTGCAATGTCTCGAGGATCTTCATTGAATCTTGGCACATGTTCACCTGTTGGGGTACAATCCGCTCTTATGTCAAAATTTTGCGTATCCGATGGCATTCGTTCCAATGCTGCTTTGAACATATTAACCACAGCATTATTAGCGTGAAAAAATGCTTGCAATTGTTCAACAATTTGTCCCTTTAGCTGCTGTGTTCCCTGTATATTGCAACTGACATTCAGCTGATCCACCATCGACGAAATGAAATATATTTGCAGAAATTTAAGCGGTTCATCTGGTGTTGGCAGCATTGAACCATGCAAAATATTTGTCCTTGTATCTGTAATTGCAAACAATCATTTGTTGAAGAATACGGTGTAACTTCTGATCGTGTGATGATGTAGTGTGTGGTGTATATGTAGTTGTTAAGTGTTGCAATTCATTGTTTTTGTGTGAGTGATTGGTTATGTGTGTTGTTTCTTTTACCTTGCAACTCGGCAAGAAGCCGCCTTCTCGAATGATATTAGCTCCAAAGGAAGTCATGCAAAAGCAGTTATTGCTTTGTTGAAGAAAATAGCTGGAATCGGGATCACTTCCATCGAGCAATGGTTTCAGTGGCTGTTGTGGTGTAAGTAATGGATCCATTTTGACTGTTCCACTTGCGCAGCCGTTTCTCTTTGGACTTTAAAGCATTGCAATATCGGCATACAGTAGTCACTGGTCCAATATATACATTTTCATCATCACGGTAGTTCACAGTGGGATCATATTAGAATGCCAAGCGATTGAATGATGCCAATGATCTTCGTGTGCTCACGCGCTGTCTCAATCGCGTTGTTTTAATCCCCATCCACATAATTTATACAGTTCAACTTACCACCTTAAAGACAAATGCCTGCTGTTGAAATTGAGTAAAAATTTGCACAATACATGTGATTGATTTGATGGTATCCAATTGAAATGTTAGGAAACGAATAGCTTTTTTTTTACTTTTTTCACAATTTCACAGTGAACACAATACCGGTTTGTCACATGAAATTAACTGAGCAGAACGCATGCTATGTATCAGAGATGACGCTGTATGTAAAAAAAGGATTTTCCCGCTTTTCTATTGAAATTTTTCGTGAATTTTCTTTGCTACAAATCTCACGGAGCCCGAGACCTTTCCAACGAATGCAAAACCGTGGAAATCGGTTCATGCGTTAAAACTTCACGAAGGAAACCCCGACTAATTTTTATATAGTAGATACAACCTACAAATACTATTACTTTCGGTCACTCGTTTTTATTCTCGTCTAGTTCTATTTTTAAAACTAATTCCTTTTCTTATACTAGATGGTGGAACCCTCGGAGCCTCCCGAAAAGGCGCTGCAGAAGGCAATGCGGTGTGTGAATAATTTTAGCTGCAACGCCGGCCCCAGATGCTGGCGAGGAGGTGCCAACGACTCCGTTAGGACGGGGAACCCCCGAGGCAATATTTTGAAATAAAAATGAAAATAATTCAAAAAATAAAACTGTAAATATATTTGCTGCTACGCAATGAAAAGGTGCTTAACATGTGCTTTTTGGCTGCTTAAACGAGCGCTCAACGTGTTCTGAACGTGTGTTTTTTGCTGCTTAAATGAGCGCTCCACGTGTACACTTTTGCTGCTCAAAAAAAAACGCTCAAATGGGTGCTCAAAAAAAAGCTAAGTGCGTGCTAGTTTTTGAACACTGATGAACCCTATAACATGCCTATGTTATTTTAAGCACTCATTTTCTAAGAAATCAGAAGCCACATTGAATTGCAAACAAGCCACTGGAAAAGGGCCATCATACAAGCAAGCCAATGGAAAACTACCAAGAAACTAAAAACCCTAAAATGTAGACTGTTCTGGCTGTTCTGTCTATCGGCGCGTTCCCACACTTCAGGAAACTCATATTTCGGGACCTGATCTGGAATCCAAAGTCCAATTCAGAAAGTCAATCAGTAATAAGAAAATCACTCATCAAAAGCTCTAAAGCTCAGAACCGAAGTTTAATCGTAAATGAAGTAGTAGTTTGATAGCGAGTATTATATGAGACATGTAACATAGAGGTCGGTGTTCTTCCAATCAAAAGTATATTGTATCGGTTGATTTATTGATTTTATTTACTTGAGCATACCCATAAATTAAGACGCTAGTCACAAGTTTAAAATATGAAAGTTGAAATTAAAGTTGATCTTATATGCTAAAATTTGGGTCGAGTCAGATGGTATATGGACAAATAATTACAAATCTTAAAAAATACAATTTAAATATATAATCAGTTTCATTATTACTGTTATTACAATTATTTTCGTTTATTTTTATTTTTAAAATTTTAATTTTTTATATTTTTAATTAGTTAATTTTGACTTTAAACTTTACATATTAATTTTTAATTTTTATTATTAGCTGTGACTTTCTCTCTAAATTTTACTTCCAATATGCTAAATTGTGTAGTTTAATAGTCAGGTGGTGCTCTTAAATAGTCTTAAAATAGTCTTGCAGTGCGATTTTAAATTGAGTTTCGTTACTGATTGCCTTGATGGTGTGTGGAAGTTGGTTCCAAGTACGAACAGCATTTACAAGGAACTGCCTCCTTTTGCATACTTATACTTAAAGCTTATTATGTTTCTGGTTCTTCTTGATGAGCTAAAAATAAGTTTTTTATACAGATACGACGGCTCTTGTTTGCTTATAATTTTATGGAGTAGTATTAGGGCCCTAAGGTTTGTCCAGGATTTAAGTGGCATGTTAAAGATTTTAATTGTAATGTCACTTATATGGTCAGCTCTTTGTCTAGTATAGATATATCTTGCCACATTATTAAACGATACTTGCAGCTTGCGCTGACCGGAGCTCCAGTCACTAAATACCTCTGGTCCATAAAAAAGTACCGGTATGAGTTACATTTTTGCAATTGTCTCTCTAGTTTTGGTCGGTAAGAAATCATTGGTCAAGTATAAGTTTTTAAGTATCGCATACATTTTTCCCACAGATGTATTAATGTGATCATCCCACGTCAATGTTTGACTAAACGTAAATCCTAAATTAATTGCAGTTTTTACATACTAATAGGAGCATTATTAATCGATTGTTTTTGCAATGAATCGGTAGCCTTTACTCTTTTACCTACAATACATTTAGATTTTTTCGGGTTTAAGCCTGAATTTTCAATTCAGTTTGACAGACACTTATACATTCATTAATTCTACGAATAGGAAGGCTTACATACATTTGGACATAATCAGCATACATGTGTACTTCACAGTTTGACATATTACTAGGTAAATCATTTACATACACCGAGAACAGTAATGGACCTAGGACGGATCCTTGAGGCACACCACATTTCAGACAAAGAAAAGACGAATACACATTATTTACGAAAACCGACTGCCCGCGATTGCTCAAATAAGAACAAATTAGTTGCACTGATGCACGCGAGAAATTACATAGCCGTTTTAACTTAATACAATGTTATGTTGTAAGTCCATTTTTTCCGTGATGTCTTCAACTATTTTAATTTTAGCTGTTGTACAGCTTCTGCCAACACGGAACCCTGATTGCTTATCCGTTAGAATATTGTTACTTGTTAAATAATTTGTCATCTGACCAGCCATAAGCCGTTGGAAGACTTTTGACAAATATGGTAGGACTGAAATTGGCCTATATTAATTTGCAGATTTTGGAATCGGTATAATTTTAGCTAATTCCCAAGAGTCGGGAAATGTTGATTGTGTAAGTGCAGTATTATATATGAAAGTTATGGATGGTAGTATTTTTGGCAATAGTATCTTTTTAAATTTTGGGTTTATGTCGTTGACTCCAGTGGCCTTTAACTTAATTAGTAGCATTGACTTAAGGACATCGGACTCAGTTACACACGCGAAACTAAAACTACTGTCACAGGTACCATTATCACAGCCGCAATTTATATTATCACAATTTCGATATGTATTTCGGGGTAGGTGATCAAGATAGTCATCTTTAGTTACGTCAGGAACTTTGCAGTCTACAAAATTTTTGTTAAGTGCATCAGGTTTGGCATCACATCGGGTAATGTTGGATTTACCTATGCCAAGTTTTTTAATATCAGCCCATTTCTGCTGCCTCGATGTTGCCCTATTAAATCTGCTAAAGAAATATTTGCGTTTTTCTTGATTAATTAATTGTGAAACATTTTTCCTTAGAGTTTTATATTGCGCTGCGTGCTGGCTCGTCTTGTATCGCTTCCATTTTTTAAATGCATTATCCCGTTTGTCAATAAGTACTTTAATTGCTGACTTAAACCATGGATTTTCACGTGGCTTGGTCCATAAAAAAGTACCGGTATGAGTTACATTTTTGCAATTGTCTCTCTAGTTTTGGTCGGTAAGAAGTCATTGGTCAAGTATAAGTTTTTAAGTATCGCATACATTTTTCCCACAGATGTATTAATGTGATCATCCCACGTCAATGTTTGACTAAACGTAAATCCTAAATTAATTGCAGTTTTTACATACTAATAGGAGCATTATTAATCGATTGTTTTTGCAATGAATCGGTAGCCTTTACTCTTTTACCTACAATACATTTAGATTTTTTCGGGTTTAAGCCTGAATTTTCAATTCAGTTTGACAGACACTTATACATTCATTAATTCTACGAATAGGAAGGCTTACATACATTTGGACATAATCAGCATACATGTGTACTTCACAGTTTGATATATTACTAGGTAAATCATTTACATACACCGAGAACAGTAATGGACCTAGGACGGATCCTTGAGGCACACCACATTTCAGACAAAGAAAAGACGAATACACATTATTTACGAAAACCGACTGCCCGCGATTGCTCAAATAAGAACAAATTAGTTGCACTGATGCACGCGAGAAATTACATAGCCGTTTTAACTTAATACAATGTTATGTTGTAAGTCCATTTTTTCCGTGATGTCTTCAACTATTTTAATTTTAGCTGTTGTACAGCTTCTGCCAACACGGAACCCTGATTGCTTATCCGTTAGAATATTGTTACTTGTTAAATAATTTGTCATCTGACCAGCCATAAGCCGTTGGAAGACTTTTGACAAATATGGTAGGACTGAAATTGGCCTATATTAATTTGCAGATTTTGGAATCGGTATAATTTTAGCTAATTCCCAAGAGTCGGGAAATGTTGATTGTGTAAGTGCAGTATTATATATGAAAGTTATGGATGGTAGTATTTTTGGCAATAGTATCTTTTTAAATTTTGGGTTTATGTCGTTGACTCCAGTGGCCTTTAACTTAATTAGTAGCATTGACTTAAGGACATCGGACTCAGTTACACACGCGAAACTAAAACTACTGTCACAGGTACCATTATCACAGCCGCAATTTATATTATCACAATTTCGATATGTATTTCGGGGTAGGTGATCAAGATAGTCATCTTTAGTTACGTCAGGAACTTTGCAGTCTACAAAATTTTTGTTAAGTGCATCAGGTTTGGCATCACATCGGGTAATGTTGGATTTACCTATGCCAAGTTTTTTAATATCAGCCCATTTCTGCTGCCTCGATGTTGCCCTATTAAATCTGCTAAAGAAATATTTGCGTTTTTCTTGATTAATTAATTGTGAAACATTTTTCCTTAGAGTTTTATATTGCGCTGCGTGCTGGCTCGTCTTGTATCGCTTCCATTTTTTAAATGCATTATCCCGTTTGTCAATAAGTACTTTAATTGCTGACTTAAACCATGGATTTTCACGTGGCTTGGTCATTTTCGTCACTAATGGTACTGATCGATTATATAAGTATGTTATATTATCTTGTAGGACAGTCAATTGAGAATTAATATTTGTATAGTCATAAATAGAGTCCCAGTCACATAAATTACAGGCGGTACTTAGTAAGGTAATGTGTTGCAATTGAAGTCGAGTGGGAGCGACGTTATCGATAGTTTAGGTCGATAGGGCGATAGCTGCAGCAGCGGGATGAGTCTGGCGGGCGATCTGGCCATATGAAGATTAATCCTGGTTCGCTCTGGGATTACTTAAAATGGCCCATGTATCCAATGACCCAATGTCGAGAGAGGCCATGTAATATGGCGGGGGGCGATGATCAGCAGATAGCGTGATAGTCGCGGCCATACTGTCCAGCAATCAAGGCAGATGCAGCTAGGAGTGCTAGTAAAAATTTTCTTTGTGCCTTAAATTAAAAAGCAGCCGGGGTCCCAATACAAAGGGCCCGGGAAGAATTTATTTGGACTCTACTGACATCGCCATACTTCGACATACCTACCAGCCCGACTTGGCTGACCAGCAACCGGTGTCCGTTCGACCCGTGCCAGCGACCAACCAGGAAAGCCTTCTACAATCGACGCCGACGACGTCAACACTTCCCGGTGAGTCCGTTCCGGCGTACCGCGTCCTCCTCCTCCTCTCGGGAACTTCCAGCGGTTGCATTGCGGCGCTGAGAAGTATCGCCATTTTGTCTGGCAGCCGAATCTCGGACTGCCCGTGCACCACTCACCGGAGAGCGCCGTTTTCCCGTGTGGAGACCCGTGTCGCTGCTGGCCTCCAAGGGAAGTCATCAGCCCGGGCTATCATCGCCTCCAGGCCGGCCCGACAGTGGCTGAAAATTAAGAGAAATTAAATACACCTGTACCTCGATTATATATAGTGATATCTACTTACCTGTTTGTGAGTTTATCCGGAGTTAGACCCGAGAGCCTTATTTGTCCTCGTTGTTTGCCTAAAATTAAAAAGGTCGCGAGCGTTAGTTAAATGGTATAGTTTACAGTGCAGTTACGTACCTTTTTGGCCTGTCCCTTCTTTTCCCTTGGAGCTCCTCAGGATTAGGTGACCATACGCACGCGCATCGCGCATGTTCCCTTGAGGCCCGCGTTTCCATGCGAGCTCTACCAATACATGGCTGGTGGAGCATAGTTTCCGCGGCGCCTGTACCCTTTCCCAGCAAAACAAATCCTCTGCTTTGACCGCGTAAATATCCGAGACGGCGGCCAGGTTTCGGTCTTAGAGGCTGAGGAAGGATAAATCTATTAAGAGGAGAATGTATATGAACGATTGTACTTACCATATTTATTAAACCTTTGTAATACCCACTATGTGTGAATAAGCTTTCCCAGTGGGGGAGATGGAACCGTAGCCGCAGTCGCGAGGAGGGGGCTCCTGCCGACTGCGAATGGGTGGTGCCCTGCAGCATCTTGAGGGCATCCATGGTTGGGTGGGAGCGCTTGGCTAGGACATCGATAGCCACCAAATGTAATCCATTTTCCCGACAATAATTGTAGATTTTTGCTTTGTTTACGTTTTTGCCCTTAGTGATGACCGATAGATTAGTAAAGTGAGACCGCGAAGTTATCGATACTTATGTTGCGAGCTGTGGCATTAGGGGTACTCTGCCCTGAAGACGACTGAGCTAGCGGCACTGCCACCGACAAAAAGCAGTTCGTAACATATTGGCGCCCAATTTAAACAAAATAAATTGTCGAGGCGACGACGTCTCGCCCAGTTATGACCCTGACGCCCCCGCCATCACGACCTATGGCTTACAACATAGATTGCAATTGCTAGGGAGTGGTGACGGGGAAGTCAGCTGAGTAGGGAAGTTGGAAGTAGAACGGGAGGCACGTCGACATTGCCGACCATTTGCTCCTGGTCACAGGTTTACCAGTGAACCGGTGATGGCATCTTGGGGCAAACCAAGATTTGCATCACGGGATGCACTGACGAGAATCTGTGATAATTTCTGTGATAGAGTAGTTTTAAGGCTTGTATTTTGTTATTTACTTATTTGAAATGTTTTTTTTTGTTAGGATGTGGTGTTCCTGGGTTTTTCTCCCCGTCCTGGACTTCTAATTTTATGTCGGTTGTGAACTTAATTGCGTAATCGTGACCCGTAGCAACCCTACGCGCTGCACGGTTGCCTCGACTTAACATAGAAAAAAAGGGCGGGAAAGAAAAGCCAACAGGAGCCAAACCAGCCGATGTCCTTAACTGGCGGCTATCACCACGGGTGATAGCTGGTCCAGTTGACGAACGGCTAGGCGGAGACGGGAAAATCGGATTTTTGGAAAAAGCGCAAGACAGTTAGGTCGGAAGCCCACCGGCGAGGGTCAGTTCCATCTCCCCAAAACCAGAGTAGTAGGAAGAAAAAAAATAATACAAGGAAATAGGAGATTTGGAAAGGAGTTGGAAAGTGAGGAAGATTTGTATATTGTTATTTACTTGTGCTATTAGTTATTTTTGTATTTATTTTCTTATTTATTATATTATTTATTATTGTATTTATTTGTTGTCTTATTTATTTATTTATTTATCATATTTATTATCGCATTAGTAGTTCTTAAGTATTAATTTCAAAATTCTTGGGAAGTATGTCCGAGGGTAAGGACGTCAGGGATAAGCACGGTCACCAGCTCAGGTCGATGGGTCCTCCTGGCGACGACAAGGACGATGTCTGGTCCACGGACGTAGAGGGTGCTGCTGGGTTGCCGCGGATATCGCTGGCTGGGGGTTTACCCAGAACGCCGGTAGGCGGTAGTGCGGTGGATCGGATTCGGAATCAACCGGCGGATCTGGAGCACCATCGGTCGCCCAGGGTCCTGGACTTCAAGGCAATCGTCGAGGCGCAGGATCGACTTCTGGTTCCGGAGCAGCCGGGTCCACAAAAGCCGAACACGGAACGGGATACTGCGGCGGAGTCGGCGATGAACGCAGCTCTGGCACAGGCTGCCCAAACATATCGCGCGTCACAGGAGGTAGGAGTGAGCCAGGCGTTGCGGGAAGAAATCAGGAACGGATTCATCGACATGATGAAGTTGTTGAACGACGTCCTGAGGCCAGCCGAGAGCAAACCGCAGCCGCTTCAGGAGGGCGCGAGTCGCCAAGTGTCGATGGTGGCCACCCCGTCGTGTCCAGAAGGCGGCGCAAATGGCCCAGCGGGGATTCCGCAGCGACAGGATATAGGAGGATGCGACCGAAGGCCACCGGAATTGCCGCCCAGGCAGCGACCTCGACTGCCGGTAGATGACTCTCCAGGGATCGACAGCAGCCTGAGCCAGGAACCCGAGTATCATCGGACAGGCAGGAGCGATCGCCACGCACGGCCATGGCGCATCGAGGACCGAAGGACGGCGGATTTTCGGGACGAGCCACGGTTATACGCCAACGCGGGAGCCGGCAACGGAAACCGCTACATCCGAGTGGACCGATGGAACCTCTCATTCGGCGGCGAAGACGATGGCCATTCCGTGGACGACTTCGTGTTCCGTCTGGAGTTCCTGCAGCGGCAGCATCAATGTCCGTGGAGTGAAGTTCTGCGCAACTTCCACGTACTCTTATCGGGCAGAGCGAAGGAGTGGTACTGGGTACATGTACGCCAGTCCAGAGTGGACACTTGGGCCCAGCTGCGCAGGGCTCTGATGGATCGGTTCCGTGGCCACCAGACGGAACACGAAAGGATGCACGAGCTCCTACAGCGTGAGCAACAGCCGGGAGAGAGCGCGGATGACTACATCCATTCGACGCAGCAACTCGCCTCACGCCTGAAAAAACCAATGCCAGAGCGGCAGTTGGTTAAGGTGGTGAAAAAGGGTTTGAGGGATGGCATCGCTTGATATGTTTACGCGATGGACGTACTCACGGTGGACGAACTTCGCGAAGAGTGCGTCGAAGTGGAGAGGAGTTTCGGTCGTCGAGGGCGTGCTGCTTACCTGCAGCAGAACAAGGTACGGGTCAGCGAGGCGCACGTACAGGACGAAGTCGACGAGCACCGACACCTGGAGGTGGACGAGCTACGTGGGCGAGTCCGAAATACATTTAGGCCAGGTTGCTGGAATTGCGGGGCGGCGGAGCACGGATTCCAAGATTGCGAGGCCACGGAGTGGAGGAGATTTTGTTTCCGGTGCGGCAAGCCGGGCGTCATTTCTCCGAAATGTCCCGATTGCGCGGAAAACGGTCGGCTGGGCAGTCCGAAAGCGGGAGGGACTCGCCCAGGTTGGAATCCCGCGAAGTAGTGCCGAAGAAAGAAGAAGAAGAAAAGAAAGTACATAGTCCATCTAATAGTAATAAGTATTTATTAAGATACCTACCGGAGGATGAGAGGCTTCGCCGTTATATGGAGGCACGAAACCGGATCTTTGCGGAGCATCAGCTGAGCGGCATGCGTCTGGTCTCACGGAGAGTCCAGAAGGCAAGGGAGCGCTTCAGGATGAGGAGATCGAGACGACGAGAGGTGGTGGCGGCCGTTAAGCACATTGATTCCGCTGATCCTCGACCCTTCGCCGACGTGGAGACCTTGGGCAAGCAGCTCACCGGCTTGTTAGATACAGGCGCTAGCGTAAGTGTGCTGGGCAAAGGCTGTCGAGAGCTCGTGGAAGCGCTGGGAGTTACCGTCCAACCGTATTTTTCGGTAGTCCGTACGGCTTCTGGCGAAGATCGATCCATCATCGGACGCTTGGAGCTGCCTGTGAGGTACAAAGGCGTAAGTAAGCCGGTCACGTTCTACCTGTGCCCATACCTGGAACAAACGGCGTACTTCGGAGTGGACTTCTGGCGAGCCTTCGGACTAGCTCCAGCCGTCGTGGGGAAGCCGGCGACGAGAGGCGTCAAGGCAGCGGAGGAAATCCATGCCAGCCAGATGGAGCACTATGCCGACCAGGAAGATGAGGACGTGGTAAGGGAGGAACCCGAATCCTGGAGCCTTTCTGCGGAGGAAAAGCTGGCGTTAGGTCAAGGAGGAGTTCCTTACCTTTGAGAGGGACGGCCTCGGAGTCACCAGCATGGAGAGGCATTCCATCGAGCTGATGGAAGGAGCTCGGGTCTTTAAGGATCGTCCGTATCCGATGTCTCCGGCGAAGCAGAAGGTGGTCGAAGACGAAATCGACAAGATGTTGGAGCTGGGTGTCATCGAGGAGAGCAAAAGCCCGTGGAGCAATCGCACAACAGTGGTGTCGAAGCCAGGGAAAGACCGGTTCTGCCTGGATGCCCGGAAGTTAAACGCCTTGACTATCAAAGATGCATACCCTCTGCCCAGTATAGAAGGAATCCTCTCCAGAATAGACCAGACGCATTACATCTCCAGCGTTGACCTGAAGTTTGCGTTTTGGCAGATCGAACTGGATGAGAAGAGCAAGGAGTACACTGCGTTCACGGTTCCAGGCAGGCCGTTGTACAGTCTCAAATCAGCCGGATTGACCATAGGGTTAAAGAAGTCGAAGTTTTGCTTCAAATCTTTGACTTACCTAGGGTTTATAGTCGGAGGTGGACTGCTGCGGATGGATCCTGGACGTGTTACGGCAATCCAGAAGATGCCTTACCCGAAATCCATGAAGGAAGTACGTGCCTTCCTCGGCACAGCGGGATGGTATCGACGGTTCGTCAAGAACTTCGCTACGCTAGCCGCACCACTCTCCGAGTCCTTGAAGAAGGCTGGAAACACAAAGTTTTCCCTAAGTCCCAGCGCCACCCAAGCAGTGGATGACCTGAAGTTGGCCTTGACGAGCGCGCCGGTCCTGGTTCATGCGGATTTCAAGAAGCATTTCTTCATCCAGTGCGACGCATCCCACGTTGGCGTCGGCGCGGTATTGTTTCAGCGGAACCAGGACGGAGACGAGCAGCCCATCGCGTTCTTCTCGGCCAAGATGAACAAACACCAGGTTAACTACTCGGTCACGGAAAAGGAATGTCTGGCGGCCATCCTAGCTATTCGGAAGTTCAGACCGTATGTGGAAGGGATGCCCTTCACATGCATTACCGATCACGCCAGCCTTAAGTGGTTGTTGACAATGAAGGATCTTTCCGGACGACTCGCAAGGTGGTCTCTCCAGCTGCAGGGCTACGATTTCAGCATCGAACATCGCAAAGGCAGCGAGAACGTAGTCGCCGACACCCTATCCCGCATCATCGAGGAAGTCCGGATAGATCCAACGGAGTTACTGGGATTCGAGACGACCGAATTTGCTGCGGAGGACTATAAGGAATTAGTGCAAGACGTGGAGTCCAACAGGGAGCACTTACCGGACCTCAAGGTGGATGGCGGACTCATCTTCAAGCGCATGAGTAACCCCAAAATGGACGAGGAATTGGAATAATCCGAATGGAAGCTGTGGATCCCGCAAAGCCTGACGCACAGCTTGGTAGAGCGTGCTCATTCGGACCCCAAGGCTGGCCATGGTGGGATGACGAAGACCTTGGAGATCCTGCGACGCCAGTTCTATTGGCCAGGGATGACCATCCAGGTACGGGAATACGTCCGGAGTTGCGATGTGTGCAAGGAATCCAAAGCGCCAAACTTCCGGATGCAGGTCGGAATCGGAAGGGTAGAGACGGAGAGGCCATTCCAGAAACTGTACATCGACTTCCTGGGCAAGTATCCGAGGTCCAAGAGTGGACACGCCTGGATATTTATCGTGGTGGACCACTTCTCGAAGTACACCTTCTTAAAGGCGATGAAGGAGGCGACGGCGTCGAACGTTGTAAATTTCCTGGTAAACGAGGTATTTTACAAGTTCGGGGTGCCTGAGACGATACATTCGGACAACGGCAAACAATTCGTATCCAAGGCGTTTGAGGAGATGATCGATGGCTTCGGTGTACAGCACATGAGGACTCCCGTATACTCACCACAGAGCAATGCCGCGGAGAGGGTAAACCGAAACGTCCTGGCCGCAATTCGCAGCTTCTTGGACGAAGATCACCGGGAATGGGATGCACATTTGCCGGAGATTGAGGTGGCCATCCGAAACACTGTCCACTCAGCCACAGGGGAAGCGCCGTTCTTCACTGTATTCGGCCATCACATGTTCCTCAACGGGTCCAGCTACAAACTAGCCAAACGACTCAGGTCTCTGGTCGACCATGAAATGGCCGGAATGCAGACCAAGGACAAACTTCGGGTTATCCACGCCAAGGTGCAGAAACAACTGGAGGGTGCATACCAGACGAGCCGGCAGCGCTACGATAAGCGAGCCCGTACTCTGCTCGCCAAGCCAGGCCAAGAAGTCTTCCGCCGCAACTTCGTGCTGAGTGATTTCAGCAAATCTTTTAACGCCAAGTTTGCTCGCAAGTTCCTTAAAGCCAGGGTGGTCAAATCCGTCGGCAGCAATGCATACCTGCTGGAAGATCTCCAAGGCCGCAGTCTGGGAGTGTATCACGCCAAAGACATCCGGTTGTGACCTGAAAGAAGGACAAAACAAAGTATACGAGCATCGCGATCACATCTGCAATACTTCCCGTCATGCGTGGGCCCCGCGTTAGGCGCCGATCGAACTGCAGGATGGTATCAGTGCCGTGTTGAATCCCATCGTATCTCCAAAGCTACCAATTATTTCATCGTTCTGCTGAAACTCCGGGCAGCGCCCCTCGAAATCTTTGGTTGATGTTGCAATTGGGGTCGAGTGGGAGCGACGTTATCGATAGTTTAGGTCGATAGGGCGATAGCTGCAGCAGCGGGATTAGTCTGGGGGGCGATCTGGCCATTTGATGATTAATCCCGGTTCGCTCTGGGATTACTTCAAATGGCCCATGTATCCAATGACCCAATGTCGAGAGAGGCCATGTAATATGGCGGGGGGCGATGATCAGCAGATAGCGTGATAGTCGCGGCCATACTGTCCAGCAATCAAGGCAGATGCAGCTAGGAGTGCTAGTAAAAATTTTCTTTGTGCCTTAAATTAGGAAGAATTTATTTGGACTCTACTGACATCGCCATACTTCGACATACCTACCAGCCCGACTTGGCTGACCAGCAACCGGTGTCCGTTCGACCCGTGCCAGCGACCAACCAGGAAAGCCTTCTACAATCGACGCCGACGACGTCAACACTTCCCGGTGAGTCCGTTCCGGCGTACCGCGTCCTCCTCCTCCTCTCGGAAACTTCCAGCGGTTGCATTGCGGCGCTGAGAAGTATCGCCATTTTGTCTGGCAGCCGAATCTCGGACTGCCCGTGCACCACTCACCGGAGAGCGCCGTTTTCCCGTGTGGAGACCCGTGTCGCTGCTGGCCTCCAAGGGAAGTCATCAGCCCGGGCTATCATCGCCTCCAGGCCGGCCCGACAGTGGCTGAAAATTAAGAGAAATTAAATACACGTGTACCTCGATTATATATAGTGATATCTACTTACCTGTTTGTGAGTTTATCCGGAGTAAGACCCGAGAGCCTTATTTGTCCTCGTTGTTTGCCTAAAATTAAAAAGGTCGCGAGCGTTAGTTAAATGGTATAGTTTACAGTGCAGTTACGTACCTTTTTGGCCTGTCCCTTCTTTTCCCTTGGAGCTCCTCAGGATTAAGTGACCATACGCGCATGTTCCCTTGAGGCCCGCGTTTCCATGCGAGCTCTACCAATACATGGCTGGTGGAGCATAGTTTCCGCGGCGCCTGTACCCTTTCCCAGCAAAACAAATCCTCTGCTTTGACCGCGTAAATATCCGAGACGGCGGCCAGGTTTCGGTCTTAGAGGCTGAGGAAGGATAAATCTATTAAGAGGAGAATGTATATGAACGATTGTACTTACCATATTTGTTAAACCTTTGTAATACCCACTATGTGTGAATAAGCTTTCCCAGTGGGGGAGATGGAACCGTAGCCGCAGTCGCGAGGGGGGGTCTCCTGCCGACTGCGAATGGGTGGTGCCCTGCAGCATCTTGAGGGCATCCATGGTTGGGTGGGAGCGCTTGGCTAGGACATCGATAGCCACCAAATGTAATCCATTTTCCCGACAATAATTGTAGATTTTTGCTTTGTTTACGTTTTTGCCCTTAGTGATGACCGATAGATTAGTAAAGTGAGACCGCGAAGTTATCGATACTTATGTTGCGAGCTGTGGCATTAGGGGTACTCTGCCCTGAAGACGACTGAGCTAGCGGCACTGCCACCGACAAAAAGCAGTTCGTAACAAATGTCAATATTTTTAAAGTTAAGTTTTTATTAATATTATAAATTAAATAAATTAGATCTTGTTTTGAAAACATTGGCATTGAAAGTTGACTATACATGGACATTTTATCATAGACAGTTACAAAAAATAAGTCAAGTAGAGTATCACAGTGGCTTAAAAAATGTGTAGGTACTGCTGAGCCAATAGACTCGATGTCGTCCGATAATTTATTTTCCTTTTAATTATTGCTGTTGAAATCCCCAGCAAGGATAACATCAGAGTAAGGGATAGATATAGAGGACAATAAGTCAATTAAATTTTGGTAGTCAATCAATCGGTTTGGTCTATAAACGCAGCCCATTAAAGTTTTGGATGAGTATAATGTATTTGTGATCTAAACAAATATCCATTCAACGGAGCTATCACTCGTTTACTTACATATATGTATGTATGGCTACTCCCCCAGCGTGGCTACGTCGGTCGGAACGAAAGAGATCATAACCACTACACTCTACTAACGAATCACTAACATAAGACATAAACCACGTTTCGGACAAACATATAACATCAATTTTAGAATAAACAAATAAATACCTACATTCTTAAATTTTATTCACTAAGATTTTAGCGTAAAGGGGTTATATACCTTTTTTATTTTCAAAAAATTGAAAATTTTTTTATTGCTTTATCTTAAAGAACAACTCCTTGAGAACATTTTCCCAAATTTTCATAGAGATTCGAGCAGTAGAAAAAAAGTTACAGCGCTCCTAACCGCGCGCCTCGTCGCGGCCCTTGAACTGAACTTGAAACTTTAAACGCGAATATCTCGAAATGGTGCTTCTTGAAAAATGACTTTGCGGTGATATGGATTGGCGGAAAACTACTGAACCGATTTACTTCAAACTTTTTTTTCTGTGCTTGAACGATCGACTTTTCACGCACAAACTTTTTTTTTGCCGAAATGAATTTTTTAGTGAAACTTCTAGCGACCAAAAAGTTCATTTTTAGCATAAAACGTTCCCGTATGCACAAAAAAAAAATCTTAAAAAGCACAAGCACAAGGAATCACACTAAACTAATGAAATTTTTTTACTTTTATGGTTTCAGTTGACCTGTTCGACCTGGGGAAGTACCACCGCAAGGCTCTTAAAAAAAAAAGTCTCTAAGGGAAACAGCCACCCCTTAAAAACTATTTAATATTTTTCCACGAAATTTTGCACAAACATTGTTAATAAAGTGTACTATCAAAAAATTAAAACATTCATGTAATGAAATAATTGCTACATACCTAAAAAAAATCCAAGCTTTCCACTTTTTCTTCGACAAAGAAGGTATATAACCCCTTAATATGGCATACACGAAGCCCAGTTCTCTGATTACCAAGTACTCTTAGCATCGTATAGCTGCTCACATTCGGTGAGCATACATTGTCATCCATTATCAACAGACCAGACAATCAGTAACGCATACGCACCTATTGATTTTGATATAATAATTAGTCTAAGCACCATTATTAAACATAAAAAAGAGTTTTGAGAGAGAGTGAGATACCTAATTAGGAGCGTCGTAATTTTAAGAGTTTGAAAAATCTTAAGTCTAATGTAAAGGGAGTATATGAATTTAAAGTACCTAGTTATAACAAGGAAGAACGCTATAGTCGAGTACCTCGACTATCAGATACCCGTTGCTCAGCTTATGGGACCAATGGGAAATGGAGATATGCAAGCAGCAAAGTGGGATTGAAATGCACCCCCTACCGGCGGTAGACAGATTTAAGCGTTATGGGCGTTAGAGTGGGCGTGGCAAAGTTTTTTTTGAATCAATCGATAGGTATTGACGAGACCAATACATTCCAGTTATTTAGCATGAAAATTGTGGGCGCCACAGGCTTGGGCGGTTTGTGGGCGTTAGAGTGGGCGTGGCAAACTTTTTTTGGGTCAATCGATTGGTATTGATGAGAACAAAATATTTCAGTTAAAATTTTTATTCTAGCATCAAAACTGTAGGAGCCACAGTTTTGGGCGGTTTGTGGGCGTTAGAGTGGGCATGGCACTCTGCTGCAACAAACTTGCGCTGCGCAGGAATATCAGGAATCTGAATGCGTAGTCCCAGTATTGTAGCTTGTATAGTTTCCGAGCTCTCAGCGTTCATACGGACAGACGGACAGACGGACGGACGGACAGACGGACATGGCTAGATCGACTCGGCTAGTGATCCTGATCAAGTATATATATACTTTATTGGGTCGGAAACGCTTCCTTCTGCCTGTTACATACTTTTCGACGAATCTAGTATACCCTTTTACTCTCGAGTAACGGGTATAATTACCAATTACACTAAGAAAAATGCGATTTTAGTCCCAACAGCAAAATAAAAAATTGTAAATGTATACAATAATTTGCCACGCCCACTCTAACGCCCATAACGCTTAAATCTGTATACCGCCGGTAGGTGGCGCATTTTAATCTCGCTTTGCTACTTGCATATCTCTATTTAGGGTATCTGATAGTCGAGGTACTCGACTATAGCGTTCTTCCTTGTTTTTTCTGCAAAAGTCGAAAACGTTTCGGAACATCCTATTACTATTAGCTCATCTATGTAGAGGAATGGGATGCTTTCAAACCCGAAAGTGCGACTGTCATCATATGCTGAAATGAATTTTTGGCTATTTTAGGCCGTATGATAATCGAGAGAAAAGATAGGAGCCATTGCTCGTAGAAAATGAAATTATATTTCATGATGATTCCTCTAATTCTTAGATCTAAACAAGAGAAGTGTTTTGCTCGGTATATCGACGGTTCTTTGTAACGGAAGTTTATCTACTAATAGTTATACCCGTTACTCGTAGAGTAAAAGGGTATACTAGATTCGTCGGAAAGTATGTAACAGGCAGAAGGAAGCGTTTCCGACCCCATAAAGTATATATATTCTTGATCAGGATCACTAGCCGAGTCGATCTAGCCATGTCCGTCTGTCCGTCTGTCCGTCTGTCCGTCTGACCGTCTGTCCGTCTGTCTGTCCGTCCGGATGAACGCTGAGATCTCGGAAACTATGAGAGCTAGGCTATTGAGATTTGGCGTACAGATTCCTGAGCTTCTTACGCAGCGCAAGTTTGTTTCAGTAGACTGCCACGCCCACTCTAACGCCCACAAACCCCCCAAAACTGTAACTCCTACAGTTTTGATGCTAGATAGAAAATTTTAACTGAAATGTATTGTTCTCATCAATACCTATTGATTGACCTAAAAAAAAGTTTGCCACGCCCACTTAAACGCCCACAAACCGCGAAAACCTGTGACGCCAACAATTTGCATGCTAGATAAAAAATTTTAACTGAAATGCATTGGTGTCGTCAATACCTATCGATTGATCCAAAAATAATTTTGCCACGCCCACTCTAACGCCCATAACGCTTAAATCTGTCTACCGCCGGTAGGTGGCGCATTTTAATTTCGCTTTGCTGCTTGCATATCTCCATTTCCCTTTGAGTAACGGGTATCTGATAGTCGAGGTACTCGACTGTAGCGTTCTTCCTTGTTTTTTTGTTAATTTGGCTATAGTCAATTACTAAACTTCATCATTTCTCATTTGAGTCAGGTAACGATTTTATCGGAACGAGTAAGATAGGGATATTATTTTCAGATACTAAAGGTTCTACGGTTTTAAATCTTATTAGTTTTTCAAAAAATTTTTATATAGACTGGCTTATCATCTTTTACTCTTAATTTCTGCCCTTAGAAATTATTTGTTAACATAGATTCAGTCTCGAGACCGAATATACCACGCTATTATTATTATTGTTATTATCTAATGCTAACTTATGGTTAAAACTATAAGCTAATAATGGGTTTATTTTTGAGCTATAGCAGCAAAAGGCCTTAAGCTCCTCACTCTATTATACCCATTACTCGTAGAGTTAAAGGGTATGCTAGATTCGTCAGAAAGTGTGCAACAAGTAGAAGGAAGCGTTTCCGACTCCAAAAAGTATATATATTCTTCATCAGGCGCTACCAGCCAAGTCGATCTAGCCATGTCCGTCTGTCCGTTTGTCCGCATAAACGCTGAGATCTCGGAAACTATAAGACGTAGAAGTAACTTCTAAGTCACTTCCGGACGATAGAAAGGCGATAGTACTCATTTTATAAAAACAAAAAGGGTCGGGATCGCAAAGAAGTAACTTCTGAGACACTTCTGAGCGACAGAAAGACGACAGTACACATTTTACAAAAACAAAATTAGTGGAAAACAAGAAAAAAAGCTTATATACCCTTGCAGCTATAATTATTAAATTTAAAAACACAAAAAATTATATTCCCAATAGTATAAGATAATATGTCAAAAAACACCGAAGCTATAATTTGTTTCATATTATTTTCCTACCAATTTTCCGATCGTTCCTATGGCAGCTATATGATATAGTCGTCCGATTTTGATAAAATTGAATTCGAAATTCAGAACT